CGTAAACTCAACAAGGCCACCAAGAAGGATCACTTCCCTTTGCCATTCATCAATCAAATGCTGGATCGACTAGTTGGCAAGGCATTTACTATTTCTTGGATGGATACTTAGGGTATAATCAAATTACCATCGCACTAGAGGACCAAGAGAAGACAACGTTCAAATGTCCCTATGACACTTATGCTTTCCGAAATATGCCTTTTGGACTCTGTAATGCCCCGACAACTTTTCAGCGCTGCATGCAAGCCATATTTTCTGACATGGTTGAGGACTTTCTAGAAATCTTTATGGATGATTTCTCTGTTTCTGGAGATGACTTCGAAAAATGCCTCGGTAATCTGGCAAAGGTACTCAAACGATGTGAGGAGGTCGACCTTATGTTGAACTGGGAAAAGTGTCACATCATGGTGACCGAAGGTATTATTCTAGGCCATGAAATTTCTGAAAAGGGCATTGAAGTGGACAAAGTCAAGATCGAGGTGATCGAGAATCTACCCCCACCAACTTCTGTCAAGGGCATTAGGAGTTTCCTTAGACATGCTGGATTTTATAGACGATTCATCAAGGACTTCTCCACGATATCCAAGCCCTTATGTACCCTGCTTCAACAAAATCAACCATTCATGTTCGATCAAAATTTCCATGGCGCATTCAATGAGCTGAAATGAAGACTTATCTCTGCACCTATCGTGGTTCCCCCCAGATTGGACGTCACCGTTCGAGTTAATGTGTGATGCAAGTGATTTTGTCGTGGGAGCTGTGCATGGGTAACGTAGAGGTAAAATTTTCCATGTTATATATTATGGCAGCCACACCTTGAATGGGGCACAATTGAACTATACTACCACTGAGAAACAATTACTTGCCATGGTGTTTCCATTTGACAAGTTTAGGCCATACTTGATATGTAACATCCCAAAAAGCGGGCTAGTGACCAAAATGCAAATTTTGAAAGTTTGATGGTCAAAGTAGAAAATTGGGAAAACTTTAAAGACCTAAGTGATATTTTTCCCAAAAAGAGAATTTATTCCATAAATGGATTTAGTTAGTGATGAAATTATAAGATTTTATAAAGTTTGGTGACCAAAGTATAAACTTTGAAAAGTTTAGGGACCAAAATGGTAATTTTAAAAAGTTAATGTTGGTTTCGAAAATAAGGAAATAAATATAATATTTTCACATTTTTAAATTTTGTAAAATAATATTTAAGGAATTAATTCCATGTTTAATTTGGATTGTTGGATTAAAGTGATAGAATTGTAAGTTTTGGAAATTGCAAGGGTAAAATGGTAAAGTGAGAAAATATTTTGTTCATCTTTGACTTTGAAAGATGATAAGGTTGTTGTAGCTTGATATTAATGTAAATATCAAGTTCATTAAGGGTAAATTAGTATAGATATTTTAATTTCAAGGGTAAAGTGGTAATTTGACATTTAATGAATATTTTATTCAATATTTAATTAAGAAAGATGAAGAAATATCATATGATTTCTTCATCTTCTCCAGCATCAAATGTGAGCTCTCCCAAAGGTAAGAAAACATTTTGTTTTCAATTTTTGAGTCAATTTCTTTAGAATTCGAGTTATGCCGTGAAATATGAAAGTGATCTACGTAAAAAACGCTATCATTTGGTACCATTATTTCTTTCTAATCTTGCTGGAATTCAAAGATCCCAAATTTAAGGGTTTATGTCATGATAGGATTCATGAAATTGATGATACATCTTGATGATTTAGAGGTTATAGATTCATTTTCAAGCTTGATTTATGGTTAAAACATGTTCAATCTTTCTAGAAATTATTCTTTGAAAATTTGACATGATGAATTTGAGTGAGAAAAATTATGGAAAAATCATATAAGGTCTGGAAATGATGTAGGAAGTATTCTACAATCCTTAGAAAATTAGGGGACCATTCTGTAATTTTTGAAAAGTTGGGAGACCAATTCGGCAATTTTGGAAAAGTTGTGAATAATTGTATAATTGTTTAATAGTTGATGTACTATGCTGAAAATTGCTGTTTTGGAATTAAAATGAACATTTAGATGTGAAATATGACCATTTTGGAAGTTTGGAAAGATTGGCGATTTAAGTGCAACATTCACATAGTTAGGGTACCGATACACTAAGGATAGTATCGGTACCCCCTTGAAACAAGAACTTTGAATGTAATTTGTGTACTGATACATAGGCAGTGTACCGATACACCAGTGAAGGGATGTACTGATACCCTGTAGTGGGTACCGATACACTAAAAAGGGAAATAGAATTAAATCTTTCTTTTAGTCAAAGAAATGAAGGATCAAATCATAATATTTGGAAAGCTGATATGGATATTATATGTATGATTGTGTAGATCTCGAGCACAAGCAAGTTCTGAAACGACCGCAAAGTTAGGATCAATCCAAAGAGATAAATCATAGAAGCGGATTTGAATATATAAAGTGTCAAGGTGGGTGCGCATTTAATTGTACTTATGTTATCGAACAAACATTGGCTTGCGATGAACTAGTGACGGAGTTACGATGGTAAGAAGTGACTCCTAAAATGTTATTTAATTTGTGATTGATGTGATTCTTATGTGTGCATGATTACATGAAAATAGGTAAATGTGTCATATGCGAAATGGTCTACATGATTACATGTATATGCGACATGTGGTATTGACATAAATGACTATAGGATCACGAACTATGTAAAATAGCAATGATTTATGTGATAACAAGAGAAAGTGATATAAACTATGTGGTATAGGTATAAATGATAAGTTAAACGACATGGACATATGTGATTGTATGAGAAAGAATATAAGCTACGTGATTATGAACATGTGGATATAGGTCTAGTTGAAGATATAATAACAAGATATAAATTACATGAGTTAGATATATAAGAACCGGTATAACCAACTTATGAGATTAAATGAAAAGTAAGATAAGTTAAATAACATTGACCTATAGGACAATATGAGAATAGTATATAAATTAGGAGACATTGACAGAAGTGATTATATGGACATGTAAGATAAGTTATATGGGGAACAATTATGGGCTTAAATGAACATATAATATATGAGTTATATGGTAAAGATCTATGAAGCTATAGGAAAATGTTATGAGAGCTATGTGATGATCAGTTATGAGAATATATATATGTAACAAGCTAGGTGAAATTGAATTAAGTAAATATATAAAACTAGAATATAAATAATGTGAGATAAGTTATTATGTAAAACTGTGAGATAAGTTATATAGCATTGATATATGAACTATATGAAAGTATGTACATGAATACATGTATAAGTTTATATGTTATTCTATGTGCTATGTGATGTATATATGAAAATATGTGAACAAGATATGACATACTTGTTTACATGAACACATGAGACATGATATAAGCTATATGATAAGATCTATGTGATTACATGCGCATGTGATATATGTTACATGATATGAACCTATATGATATGGGTTATATAACAAGAATGATATACAAGCTACATGAAAATGAGTTATAAGATTACATGTTTATATGATAAGTGATGTGAATATGTGATAAATATGAAAGATAATGCCCATGTTATGTGTCATGAGATCTAGAGGTATAGTTGCATGCCAAGAGTCGAGGGTCTACGCGATCCTTCGAGACATATATGTATCCTATGGAACATTTATGATGTCCTTAGAGACACATACTTGGTCTTTGGAATATGTATATGATTCTTAAGGAATTTCTATGTGGTCCTTATGGACATTTTATATGGCACTACAGTGCAATTCTACGCGGTACTTCGGTGCCATTCTATGTGGCACTTCGGTGCAATTTATACGAGCTGTGGTGACAACATATGTGCACAACCTTAATGTACTCGCATACCTTAAGTTCTCAGTAATGTACATGGGCTTATAAAAGATATCAAAAGTGTTTGCATTATTATATGTTATTATGTTATTATTGTTTACCCTGAATTACATGTGTACATGGGCTAATAAAGAGATAATAACAAATACAATATATGTGATGTATATGCTTTTGGTGATATGAAATATGTTACATGAATTATATGATGTTATGTGTGTTTCTTTGTGAAATGATATATGTGTTATATGATATACAGAAATGATAAGTACAAATTATATGATAAATAGGTTAATGATAATGATAGAGATCATGATAATGATGTTGATGTTGATAATGATGGTATATGTGCATGCATGCATTCTGTTATATGAAATGTTTTATGGTTTATATTATATGTTTTAAATGACTCACTAAGTCAACGACTTAGCGTGTGATTGTTTCATACGTAGGTTCCGAGAAGAGGAAGAATGAGTAAAGTTAACCAAGACAGGTCAATTTCTCCTTTCCAAATATAAGATCAAAAAAGAATTAAATAGTAAGTATTTTGTAATACTGATTGTGGTTGGCATGTAAATAAAGATTTGAATATGATATGCTCTAATCGGTTTTGTAAAATCATATAATTGTATTTTATGTAATTATTCAGTTGTATTTAGTAAAAGTTTAAAATTATTCACTATTTTGTATAAGTAAATGTTTTGAAATGTCAATGTGACACCTCAGATTCGTATCCGAATTGGGTACGGGCTGGGGGTGTTACATTTAATGGTATCAGAGCTATGGGTGACTACTTACAATTGCCTACTTACAATTGATATCAATATGTATATGGACAACATTCAAAACACATATTATTCATATTATATAAATATATGACTAAATAATAAACTTGGAAATTTTAGTGTCACAATAACAAATCAAATAAATAACATAACATATAATAAAAAATCATACATTACAAGCACCCACAATGTAATAAACCCATATATTTAGGACTAAAATGAACATATTTAAAATTCCAGGCTAGAAATTAAAATAAGTAAAAGTCAATAACTAAAGGTGACCAAATTAAAATAAAAAAATTACATGATTAAATTAAATAAAATAAAAAAACAGATCAATGACCAAAATATAAAACATGTTGAAACTACAGGGACTAGTTAATAATTAAATCTTTTTTACAAGCCTAAAACATATTTTTTATTAAAAATGCATAAATTACTAAATCATTCCAGAAAAAATAAAATAAAATAAAATAATCACTACACATGACTAAAATGCAAAAACACACTTAAATAAGGGGGACTAAACAACAAATATTCCAATAAATACATAACATAGAAGAAAAAGGGTAAATAACAATTTTGGTCCTCGTAGGTGACAAAAATGCAAAAACACGCTAAACTTAGAGGGACTAAACATAAATTAACTCAATCAATATATAACACGTATGAAAAAGGGTAAATACCAATTTTGGTCCTTGCAGGTGACCAAAATGCAAAAAGGCGCTAAACCTATAGGGACTAAACAATAATTAACCCTTAACTTTCCCTATAAAAGTTACTTTTTTTTATTTTCACTGAAAACCCCAAAATATCTTAAAATCTTTTTCCCCTCTCTTTTCTCTTTCGGTCAGCCACCATTTGACCTTCTATACCACCGCTCCAGCCGTCGTTTCGGCCGCCACACACGACATTCGAAACTCCTAAATTGACCCAAAAACCCTATACTTCCATATCTACTACCTTAGACCCCGATTAGGGGCTAAAACTCATCAAAAACTACTCCTAAACACAAAAAAGGGGCTCAACGCTTCGGCTTTCCACTCACTCCGACCACCGTGGAAGATGAACCGACCTCTCAGGTAACTACTCAACCTCTTCCTCTTCTTTTGTTTTTTTTTCCGTAAATATGTATTTTTTATTATTTCAAAACTAAAAAAAGAAAAAATTACCTTAAACTTTTGTTTGTATTGCTTCGAAAAATAAAAGGGGATCACTTTTTCTTACAACTGATTCGGGTTTTATACCCAACTTTTACAAATCTTTTCAAAAAAAAAAAAAATTGACATCTACTCTTGGTGGTTGTTGATGATGGATCTTTGTGGCAGGGAGGTATGGTTGCCTTGCTCGATTAGTAAGGCATTAAATGCCTCGGATTTTGTTAAGATCCGATCTGGCTCGGCTTGGTGGGTCTGACGATCGGTGCGGCTGGACGTGGGGTAGATTCGGTTGACGGTTGTGGCTCATCCTTGACGGCAGCAACGGCAGCTGAAAAGTCCTCCCTTGTTTTAGGGTTAGGGTTAGATTAGGGTTTTGTAATTGGGCCTCTGTTTGGGCTTGGGTATAGGTTTCTGTTTGGGCCTGGATTTTTGGGTTTGTAAAATAAAAAAATAATTATAAAAATAAAATAATAATTAATAATTATAATAATGTTAACGAGATCTTCTAGCAAAAAGAGTGTCAACAATTATTCTATGTATATCATGCTTAACATACACTATCCGAGAGCATCATCAATCACAAACTAATCATGACTATAACTTACCATACAGTCATATTAATAGCAATAAGATACACAAAGATGAATTATTTGATATCACCTAACAATCAAGTAAAAATTAATTAATAGTAACGATCGGTCTTATGTTTGTACTCACGACGCTATTAATCGTACATGTAGTCCATAACAATAGAGTTTATGTATACATTCAAAGCAACAACGGTAGATTATATAGAATCACCAATGCATCATATATTACAAACAATGATAATATGATACGTGAAATCATCATGCATATGATATTACAACAACTTTTGAAGGCTTTGAAATGGTTGAGTCCAAGAAGAAGACACAGAGAAGGAAACAATACACTCCATCTCTTTGCAATCCCCTATTCTACTCACCATCACTGTATTGGATTGTGTTGATTATTACACTTTTACCGGTTCTCTCGAACTCAAAATTTGAAAGACGTGAGCCCACCTGTAATCTGTAAGTGATGAGTTTTTTTCTTAGATTTCTGCTTGGATTAGATAGAACACTTCAAGATCAAGGTACCTTAGATTTATCAACATATCCATGCCTTCAGGTATTTCCTGAATTCTGGTGCAATTAATATCCAACTTCTTCAGTCTTTGAAGCTTCGAAAGTCAAGGCAAATATCTTAATCTTTAACAGCCATGAAGCAACAGTACGAAGCAACAGTATTTTGAGGTTCTTTAATTCAGATATGGAATCAGGTAGACACTCTTTTTTTGTCCGGGACAGATTAAGAACACTAGACAAGACATTTACAAAGAAAGCATTTGAGATCTTCTCCATAGGATTCTGTTGCAGTAACAAGGTTATAATTAGTTCAAAATTTGGAAGCGACATATCTTCGGAATCTCTATCATGGAGTTTTCCATAAACGATACTTTCCCAACACCCGCCTTTCATTCCTTGTCTTTTGGTAACGTTATTAGTTGCAGGCCTGCTTGTATAATATATAGGATCCTTGTTTGTTATGGACAATGCCATGTCTCTCACTGCATCATGCATCTTCACACAAGGTCGACTGAATCGTTTGATACCATTTTCTAACAAACAATTATCTTCCAACTTTTTCAAATAGACATTGCCCTTGTCTTTCATTTCTTGTCCTGTTTCCATTTCATCTATAAATCCCTCATCAATCCAACATTCGATTAGCTCATCCTTCTCAATTTCGAAATCTTCAGGATATAATGCACAATACAAGGAGCATTGTTTAACTTTCTCATCTTTTAAGTGATCAAAACTAAATTTTAAGCACTCCGTCACTTCAGCTTCCACTCCTTCAATCATCCCTATTCGTCCTTTCAATTCCTTGAGAGCATTTTTCCAAATACAATGGTCATCTCCTCCTTTTAGGGTACCACCTACCACAACAATTCTGAGAGGCAGACAGACACATTCTTTGACAACGAGCTTCAAAGTTGGCAATATCCTTGCACATTGCACTATGTTAGGCCCAACTTTATTCAAGAATAGTATTAATGCCTCTTCTTCTGAAAGGGGTCTTACCAGTATATCCTTACAACTCATACGTTTACAGACTTGCACTGAACGAGTTGTCAACACCAACTTCCATCCATTGCTACGACTCAGCTCAGGGATCCCAAGTTCCTCTAGAAAGAATCTGTCCCACACATCATCTAGGATTATAACACACTTTCCTGTTTTCTTCAGCATTTCTAATAAGATTGCCCCTCCTGCATCAAACGTCGCCAGATTTCATCTCTCACAACTTTCTCACCCACTAGTTCAGATGTTGGCAGATACAACCCAACATTTGGACTACCGATGACAAGATTTTCAGAGGCATTAGGAGCTTTGTATTCCTATAGTCTTTTCATCAACCAGCTTTCCGTTGCAAGCACGACAGAGGTATCTGCCATTACTAACTTTAGTTTCAACATCTTGCGCTTCCCCAATCATCGCTTTCACATTTTCCAACCAATTTTTAATTCCCTCCTTTGGTACCTTCCCCACCTGAAGAAGCTCTGCTTTCAATTGCAGCTCTATATCTTTCATTTTGCTATTCAATTCATCTATGATTCTCTTGAAGTTTCTCACGTAATCATTGAAATTTCGGTGATATTGCCAATATTCACAGATTGGAGCTCCCAGACAATTTGCAATGGAAACTGCAGGCTCCATGTTCTCCATTGATTTGTGACTGCAATCATATATGTATTAGTATCATTCTTTCAATTTAGTTAATGCTCTGTAGATGAAAACAACTGACTTAGAGATGAAAGCTCTTGTGAGAATAGAACTGGAAATAAATCAAATATCAAAGGGCTACAATATAAGGAGCAGACGAGATATGACTAAACAGAGAAGACAAAAAATATGACTATAGGTATGAAAAGGAAACAAGAATGCAACCTTCCAACAGTTTATATAAATAAAAGAAGCCTGAAATGGTGAGTTAAAATGTATACTGACTCACTGATTCGTACTCACATTAAATTGTTAAGAAATCAGTAAAAAAAATCATTGCATCGTCAATAATCTATGGAAAGGTGGGAAAGAAAGTAGATGATCCAGAGTTGATAACTTCAATTTCACACAGTTATAATGCACAAAGAAGAGAAAAATTACCTGTGAAAGATCTCGGAGATGGAAAACAGTGGAAGAAGAAAGAAGACCTTGTATCAGATAACACTAATTTTATCAAAACAAGAAAAATAAATCGTAAAGAAAACACAATGTTCTTTATAATTTTTTTATCCTTTTCCTCTTGTTGTGAACGTGTACCTCAACATAATATATGAATGATGTCTTTCTGGATTTGAGGAATATATTCGACACATGCCCGAACAATCACGAGAATATGTAATCAGGACAATTGTGTCTCGCCCACTGTCCCGCAAGCTGTTAAAATACGTATCATAGTGACCCCTATCTCCGGCAAGCCAAAATATATGTTGAAAGGTTAAAACGAAATTCACCAAAAATTCCGATACCATACAACTATAAAACTATCTTAGAACCATTTTAGAAAATCAGTCAATTCGAAAACTCAAAGCCTAAATTTTGTCTAAGCTTACAAACTGCAATAACGTCTAGGTCATTTTGGGGAGGCCTTATCACCTTGATGAATGTAACCCTCCAGACCCGATCTGTAAGTTAGACCCAAACCTAAGTGGTCATATATCCCATTCAGAGTTTTTTTTCTTAAAATACATTAGATATAATATAGAACAAAATATCGATAATACAAATATATCCAAAACGATAGCAAATACATGTCACCAAACTAACTGAAAACATATAGAGATATACGTTCGTACAAAATAAGTAGTTGATCTCCCTGATGCCAAATCTGCTAGCTACTGTCTACTGTATTGAAAAGGGTAAAAACTACAAATGAGCTAAAAAGCCCAGTGTGCTCCATAAATATAAAAAAAATACAGATAAAAACAATAAGATCAGGTTTATGCAACATGTTTTTTTAAATATGAACACTACCCCCATCCGTTCACATCATAAATGTGTAGGTTCCCCAGAACCATACACCCAACCGCACATGTCATTTAGACCCTGAGCACAAAGCCGAGGAGTCTGCAGATAATCTTCTTCAACAATATCCCCCAATGACAATATTAAACATGAATGTATTCAAGTGAAAATAATGATTAATCACTAAAACATAAAAATGTTTCATACTTGGAAACCATATGCAGAATACGGAAATCAGAATTCAAAACAGTAAATATGGTAATTCAGATGTCAGATAATCCATATGCAGAAATACGGAAATCAGAATTCAAAACAGTAAAATATGGTAATTCAGATGTCAGATAATCAGATTTTAGAAATCGGTATGAAATACCTTAATCCGATATCGGAATATACAGTAAATCAGATATCAAATACTTGGTATTCAGATGAATCATTTTAAAACAGTAATGTACTATGTCAGGAAACACACCTGTAACAGTCTGAGAATCAGATAGGAAAGCTACTACTGGGTTTTCGATCACGCTTGCTGCAGCTAGATCCTACGAATTGAAAAAATCTATATTGGAATCCTAATATAAATAATCTTAATCTTTATTTAAATACGGAAACCTAGGGTAATTCTGTAATACGCGGTTCGGGGCTGATCTGACGAAAGAACAACTCCGGACCTAATTGATCCTCGCTTAGGTAAAACGAGTACCTTCATAAAATATTTATTGAATCAATTCCTTAACTAAATCTCAAATAAATAAAAATTAAATACTAAATACTAAGCCTTTTTGGGTTCACATGCTTGATTCGGGGATTTCGGGTCAGAATTTGACAAAATGGACTTCAGAATCAGACTTAGGACGTCGAAAAACATAAAGTATGACCTTCCGAAATTCTGAATTCTTGGTCAAAATCAAAGTCAACGGGTTTGACCTCAAAAACGGATTCGGGACGTTGAAAAATGTCAAGATATGTATTCTCGGAAAAGATTAACGGCTGTTTAATAGCCGATCAAAGCCGGTCAAAGTTCTGGTCAAAAGTGGTCAACCATTTTCGAAATTAATATATATATTTTTATTTTTTTTATTTTTTTTACAAAATTATAAATAACACCATTTTAAAATTAATTACCAATATATCACCATTTTCAAAATATTTACTACTAAAATGCCATTTTTTCAAAAATTAAGAAAATAGCATTTTTAAAAAAATTACAGAAATAACACCCTTTTCGAATTAATTCTCAATATGTCACCCGTTTCAAAATAATTACTAAAATGTTACCCGGTAAACGGTCAACGTTCAACTGGTCGGATCGGGTCAATGGGTCGGGTCTGGTCAACGGGTCAGGTCGAAACCGGTCAAACCCTTTGAAAAACCGGTCATATTAATCTTCCCCACGCGCATGGGGCGCGTGGGGCTCTTCCAACAGCGTAAAATTCATGGAAAAATTCTTAAAAATTTTTTTGAGTGATTTCGATATACTTACAAAGCTCGGTTCAAAGTTTTGAACGGCGGAGAGCTCGATTTCAACAAATCGGAAACTTTGATCGTTTCACCTCCCCACGCGCGCGTCTACGGAGACCAAGGATAACACCGGCAAACTCGGAACGGCACAAGGAACACGATGGTGCGGGAGGTGTCATAAACGACAACGATCGGCGATGAATTTAAGATTTTCTCGACGATTGTGCTAAAAAAAGGTCGAGACTTTACTGGAAATTCCCGTAATTTGGCAGCGTTTTCACCTCAATTAATTTAAGGGAATTGTTCCTGACTCGATAACGATCACGATAGTGGCTTCAAAACGATGATTGGAATTTGGACGGCGTCGGGATCGTTGACGGAAGTTGACGTTGGGGGAAGGGAATTTAGGAGCAATTGGTTTCTGATTTTTCAGAAACCAATTGCCGTATATATACCAAACCTCACCAACTTTTCTTGGGTAAATTCAGGGCTTGATCCCTAATTTTCTTTAACTCTAAAACAAGCTACAATTTTAAAATCTTCAATTTAGTCCCCAAATTTATCAATTTCACAATTAAAATTCAAATTTATAAGGTTTAGCTCTACCTCATCAACTTGAATGATGTGATCTGGATCTGGATCTGGACGGTATCGCCTCAACATAGACACATGAAAAACATAATGAATACGGCTAAGCTGGGGAGGCAACTCAAGCTGATAAGAAACATGTCCAACTTTCTTTAAAATACGATACGGCCCAATAAATCGCGGACTCATTTCTGCCTATCGAATGCCTCTTTTAAGCGATCACGAATCAATCTGACATATTCAGTCTCTCGAATCAAGTCTGGACCCAAAGTTTTTCTATCATGCAACTCTATCAAATATATAGGAGTACGACATCTACGTCCATACAGAGCCTCATATGGTGCCATGCGAAAACTTGTCTGGTAACTATTATTGTAAGCAAACTCAGCTAATGAAAAATGTTCTGAAATATCAAACCGATCTCGACCCAAAGCTAGAGAAACCTGGAAGTAAACCTCGGATCTCGATCAGATATGATAGACAACGGAACATCATGAAGTGTAACGATCTCAGAAATGTACAACTTAGCCAGTTTTTCCAGAGAATAATTAATCCGGATAGGGATAAAGTGCGCTGATTTGGTGAGTCGATCAACAATAACCCAAATAGAATCCTTTTTAGAAGGAGTAAAGGAAGACCAGTAACGAAGTCCATCGTAATGCGCTCCCATTTCCACTCATGAATCTTAATTGACTGTAACAATCCAGATGGATGCTGGTGTTCTGCCTTAACCTGCTGACAAGTCAAACACCTCGCCACAAAATCTGAAATATTTTTCTTCATACCAGTCCAAAAGTAACGTTCTTTGAGATTATTGTACATTTTGTCCCCGCTAGGATGCATAGCATAAGGACTACTATGAGCCTCCTGAAGAATAACCCGTCTCAACTCATCATCTTTAGGGACGCAGTAACGACCGTGAAAACATAAAATACCATCTTGATCCACAGTATACTCCGAACTCGATCCCTGCTTAACTTGTTCAATAATGGGAAGAAATGAGCTATCAAGGAGCTGTTTGGCCTTAATCTCCTCGGCCAAAATAGGTTTAACCTGTAACTCTGCTAACAGACTACTATCATCAAATAAACTCAATTTGGCGAATAAGGCTCTGAGATCTGATATCGCCTTACGGCTCAAGGCGTCTGCCACTACATTAGCCCTCCCTAGATGATATTC